CATCCATCCATCTATCTATCTATCCATCCATCCATCTATCTATTATTGTCTCTGGTCTGTCAGACATCAACACTGAAGTGATATTAATGTTTGTCCAGAACTCAGAGAGTCTACAGGCACATTCTGCCCTCTATTGGGTCATCTGTGAACTACAGCACTGACTGAATGTACCTTTAATATCTTAAATATTCTGCTAAAATAAAGTTTGAAATTCATAATTATGACAAAATGTCTCAATTAGTATTATGTAATTAATTAATGATGAATAAACAAGTGTTTATTTTCCTTTTGTGTGCTTTTAAATGTAATTTCAGTTCATTTCTTCTCTGTTTGTGTTTGAAAGGTGCTGAACAAACTCCAACCAATGAGCTCATACTTCACCTGAATGTCCCGCCCCCTGGGTCGCTCAGTTTCTTCTGATTGGCTTGAGCTGCCAGGTGAACTGGACTTTTGCCGATTATAGTTGTGGGACCCCGTATTAGCGTACCTGAGGAGACAAACACCGGGTATCAGCCGTTTGTGACAGTGACGGACTCTCGCCGCCATTGATTGGTCCACAGTCTCACCTTGAGGTCTGAGAGTCTGGCTGAAGACGACGGGGCTCCGGGTCTGTACGGTCTGGACTCCGGCTCTGCCCACAGCCTGCAGGTACAATAATAACAGTTAGTGTGCAGGTCTGGATCCCCAGTTTAAACCTGGTCTGGGTCTAACATCAGTACCAGAGTGTTGGTGAGCGGTGGGTTCAATCTGACGGTGCTGCTGGCCGGGCTGATGGGCAGCCGTGGTCTGATGGCGGTGGTGGTGACGGAGCCGGGGGCAGCTGGCAGGGGCGCGGAGGTGCTGGGGGTCACCAGAGACTGCTGGCTGCTGAGCAGAGACTGACGCAGCGCGGGCAGGCTTTTCTGTGGGGCAACAAACAATTACTGATGGGTAGTGTGAGTTCAAGTACTCTTTTATCTTTTACTGCAGTGAAACTATTGAGTTTTATTTGTAAAGCGCCAATTCATCTCAGGACACTTCAAATACAGCAGGTCAGACCGTACTCACAGTACAAATACTCTGTTCACTCACAGTACAAATACTC